TATATATATATATATATATAATATCTCCGAAAATAAAAAAAAATAATTAAATAAAATCCACAACTAATAGCCTTTCCTACAGATAATATGCCCCCATTAAATCCCTAATTTTTAGCAAACCATACTTATTACCTCCAAAAACTAAAAACTAAATACCATATACTGTTTAAGAGAATAAGAATGGATTGCTACGTATTTAAAAGCCCCCCAAATTTTAATATTTACATAAATACCACTCAATTCCTATCCATTCACATAACGAACACCTAAACTTCAACTCTTACATACAAGTCACCATACCCATGCACTAAATGATTTATTTCTCATTCCAAAAGTTATAAAGACGACATTTTTCATGCGTATGAAAGATTTTGATGGTAAAAACATAAAAAGTAAATATTAATGGTTTCATATGTAAATACACATGGATTGGGCGGAATCCATGTAATAATGGAAAAATTATTTCATATGCAGAGATGTTCGATCTATATCATCGATTACCGATCTCCACCATGTGTTCAAAATTAAAAAAAAAAAAAGTTGAGCCCCCCGAAATAGATCTTTACGGTGATCAAAAGTGTAGATCGGATATCGCATGCATCTCTGCATGTGGTGTCCGTATAAAATAATTTTTCGTAATAATGCAAATGCCCCACCCAAATAAGCCTAAATATAGAAGAACAACAAACCAATCAGTTATATATAACCCTTCACCCCCACAAAAATCATTCCCAAATAAACAAATTTAATTTAAATAACTAACAACCTGTAATTAATGATTTATCCTAAATCTATTTAGTCCCAACAAAAGAAAAGAAATTAAAACCAAAAAAATTCAACTCTGATTCTCATAAGAAATCATGAATCTCCTCTGGTTCCCATTTCTCTCCCTTCTTCTCTCCGCCGCTGGAGCACCATACAACCTCACCAAAACCTTCAACGTCAAGCACTACGGTGCAGTTTCTGATGGCAAATCTGATTCTGCAAAGGTAATAAATTAAATATTTACATTCTTTCCTGTTATCATTAATCAAGTTTACATTTTTATCCAATTTTTAAAAAAAAATTTGTTTTTTTTTTAATTTTTGCAGGCTTTTCAGAAAGCTTGGGATGATGCATGTGGGTGGGAAGGATTGAAGCCGAAGGTTCTGATACCGGAAGGAAGGTTCTTGGTGGGGTCTCTGGTATTCCAGGGGCCGTGCAAGGGGAGGAAGGTGGTGGTGCAGGTTAAGGGATACGTGGTCTCGCAGGCGGATCTTAACGCATATAAGACACACGATTGGATATCGTTCCGGTATATTAACGGGCTGCTGGTTACCGGGAAGGGGACATTTGATGGACAGGGAGCTTATGCCTGGCCTCATAATAACTGCCGCAGTAACAAGAAATGCAGGCCTCTCCCTTGGGTAAGTTTATAAATAAATAAATAATTAATTAATTAATATTTCGTTGTTTTTAATTTACATATTTACCACCCCATTTCCCATGTATTTACATGGGGGTGTAAATGGGCCGAACACGAGCGATTCGTTTATATTTTGAGCTCAAAAAGTGTGTTCATGTTCGGCACGTTTGTTTAGCGAGTCAAACACGAGCTATTCACGAACAAAGAGTCATTTTGACAATTCTAATCACACAGTCATCATAAGATGTTAAGACTTGACAGTCATCATAAGATGTTAAGGCTTGAGGCAAAATTTAAAATTTATTAATTATATTAAAACATCACTTCAATCTAATTTAATATTTTTTATTCTATTTTCTTAATTAATACTTTTATTTGATTAGAAATCTTTGTAGCTTTGTAGTCAATTAATTTTTTTAAAAATACTACTCACCAATCTATATATGTAGTATTTCGAGCCAAAAACGAGCCGAACACGAGTTTTTTAACGAGCCGAACACGAGTTGTTCGTGAACAACTAGCCGTTTTGACAGCCCTAGCTGGGTGATATTTAAACAAAATAAATTTTAAAATTTATTATATTAGAAATAAATGTATTAAAATGTATATGTCATGAATTTTAGTAAAATAAAATAAAAATTTTATATTAAAAATGAATGAATTAGATGAGAAATTGAGTGGATGTTGTTAGAATAAAGTACTAGATTAATTAATGAATAGAATTTTGCAATTTAATTCTTCAATAACTAGAATTAGACATAATATTGATGTTATATATGTGAATGATCTAATACGACTATGCATACAAATCCTCAAATCATATGCATTGGATTACACTCTTACCCAATAAATCTATTAATTTGCATTCCACACCCAACTTTTCATTGCAGTCCCTAAACTTCAGCTTTGTGAGCAATGCAACCATCAGAGGCATAACTTCAATTAACAGCAAAAACGTCCACATTCAAATATTTGCATCCAAGGACATGAACTTCCAATATCTTAAGCTCATAGCCCCCGGAAACAGCCCCAACACGGACGGAATTCACGTCGGACAATCCGAAAACATCGTCATCGAACACTCGATCATCAGCACCGGCGACGACTGCATATCGATCGGGCCGGCGACGAAGAACCTGTCGATATCACAGGTGTGGTGTGGTCCCGGCCATGGCATAAGCATTGGGAGCCTTGGTGGAGGGAAGGATGAAGGAGATGTGGTTGGTGTAAATGTGAAAAATTGCACTTTTACAGGAACAACCAATGGTGTTAGGATAAAGACGTGGCAGGAGTCTCCTTCTTCCTCTTCAGCTTATAAGCTCACGTTTGAGGATTTGGTGATGAGGAATGTGGATAATCCCATTATTATTGATCAGAAATATTGCCCCCATAATCTCTGCAGTAACAAGGTACGTGGGTTGTTATGTATATTGATTACAATTCTTATGTATTTGCACATCTCACCTGCACCTAAACTTTCAATTTTGCATGACAGCACTCAAATCTTTAATATCACATTACAAATAGCATTATTATTATACATTGCAAAAAATGCTGCATGCATATGTAAGGACCAAAGATGTGCTATATATATATGTACTACGTATGTAAATTCTCCTTAAAAAACAGTGTTTTTTTTTTTTTCAAGTTCTGATATGATTTGTGTGTGGTTATGAATTGATGCAAATATGTTTCAATTAAATTAGAAGATATTTAGATTTTTATCAAGAAAAATATGGTCTTGCTGTTTTTCTCTTCCTGTTTATGGGTTTAGATTTGAGCATTTGTCTATTTTGTTTTGAGTTGTGGCTTGTTTGATTTGTCTTCTTAATAATCATAATAGGATGAAATGTTCGAAAGAAGATTTAAATTTTTTTATCATAATCTAATCATCATGTTTATGGCTGGGTTTGTGTGTGAGTTCATGTGCTTTCCATTCTATTGTGTTAGAAAATAACATATGATAGATAGTATTATTGAATTTATTGTTATTAAAGCATGAATTTTGTTTCAGGCTCCATCACTGGTTAAGATCAGTAAAGTGAAATTTAGAAAAATTCGAGGAGTAACAAGAACGAAGAATGCGATAAATCTGGTCTGCAGTGATAAATTTCCATGCGAAGAGATCGAGCTAAGCGACATAGATTTGAAATACAGTGTTGCAGGAGATGTTGCTATTGCTTCATGTGTTAATGTCAAAGGCCGCTCATTTGGCAGTATTAACCCTCCATCATGCATTTAGATTCTAAGTCCTTTTTTTTTATCTTTTTGTTATTAGAGTTTGAGAATTTAATTTATGAAAAAAGAGGGGAAAACTTACAAATTTGTCTTGGGGGTTATTAGTTTTGAAAGTATATAGATAATACATGTTGTTATTTTATATAAATGATTTAGAATTATTTTGTTATTTATTTAAACAAATATCTTCATTATTTTTGTTTGCAAGTTGATTGTAATGAAATAGATCATGGTTGTTAAATGTTAATTGCTTATTCTTTTTTCCCCAAGGTGATTGGCAAGGAAATGGCTTCCATGATCTCCATTCTCTCATCATAGAAAGCTGAAGAAAGAACTTGTGGTTAGGATCATGAGCAAAAATCTTAAGTTGAAATCGTCGTAATAATTATTTAAGATGCTATTAACTTAACTCCCCATATTTATGAAAGTGTTGCCAATTTAATATTTTGTGATTAACACAGTGACTACAATGACATTGCCATAAGGATTCCTTTTGGTAGGCAAGATCCAACATCTCCAATTCTAATGAGGAAGATGGCACATGTATTGTTGGTGTTACTCTTGACACATGTTTTAGGTTTTTCTGTATCACTATCATTATTTAGTTTGTCAGCTCTTTGATTTTTTTCACCACTATATTTCATGCTCATCGCATCTTTGAGGATATGGGATCTTGATTTTTCATTGAGTTGTTGACCTCACTTTTGGTTGAGGTCTATGGATCTTGATTTTTCATTGAGTTCAATCAAATAATGGAGTTAAAAAAGAAGAAGAAAGACTTAAATCTAAAGAATAATAGTTGAATGAAGGAGTGGGCAACCGAAGATAGCGTTGTAGGTCGTCAATGGTCATAAATGGTCGTCAATGGCCTCTATATTCTCTATTCATCTTTGGAGAATTTGAATACAGGTCTCGAGATTAAGACCATGCACAAAAATCTTATGTTCAACTTGTCTCAGACATTTGTGAAAAGACTAGGATACACCATATCTTCACAGTAGATCAGCCGTCTCTATGCTCAATAACCTCTAGGTGTTGACTTGGAACTAGGATACACCATATCTTCACAGTACATTAATCCATGGTTCATTTAGAATGGATATTTATCCAATTCCGCTCTTAGTGTTGAAAAGTATTAGAATTCCAGTGGAAAGCATAGTCGAAGCTTATGTTTTTCATTTAAAAAGTCACACCGAGTTTTTTGTACACTGAATACATACATAGAAAATAAACTTTTGATCAGTTATGAAGGAAGCAGTTAGGATGGATCAGTTGTAAGCCAATGGTCCAGATGATGCTACGTGTGATTTGCAGATGAAGTGGAACAGAGATTCACAACAGATATCATTGCATCCCCTGTCAAGCTAGAAGTCTTGTTAGAGAGTGTCAGCTTGCATTGCATTTGCTGAAACCTAGAGTTGGGGAGTATTTTTATAAGTAAATCGACAAGCTAGTCTTGAGTACTGATGTGGTGGATGGTGAGGTGAGCTCACTTGATGCAATCTTGAATGAAGTGATAGTCGACCTTGATGTGTTTGGTGTGTGGAAGAGTAGATTGTTTGCAAGGGCAATGACGGAAGGTTGTCATAATAGAGTATCATCGGTCAAGTTTGCAATGTACATAGATATGTAATAAATCATTGAAGCCATATGATATCCGCTGTGGCGGAGGCAAGGGCTCCATATTCTGTTTAAATGTACAAGTGTGCAATGGTGACTTGTTTTTTTTTTCGAACCAAGGGATGGGAGTTCGTCCAAGAAATGCACAAAAGCTAGAGATTTACAATCGGTTGGATTTCTTCCCCAGTCAGAGTCTCTGTAGGCCTTAAGAGTTAGGTGAGAGCAGTAAATAGGAAGGTCATGAGACTTTGTGCAATTGATGCAGCGGAAGATGCATTTGAGCTAGATTAAGTCATGTTTGGTGGGTGTTTGCATGTGTTAGGAGGTGAGATTGACTGCATAGGATATTTCAGAGCGGGTGAGTGTGAGATGTTGGAGAGAGCTGACAAGTTGGTGGTATAAAGTGGGGTTTGGCATAGGAGTGAGGTCAACAAGTACGGTGGATGGTTTGGAGGAGCATGGATTTTTTACTGGTTTGGAGTTGGACATGCCGACGGTTGAGAGAATATTGGCTGCATAGTTGGTTTGAGAAAGATGTAAGCTATAGGATGTTGGAGTAGCTTTGATACTAAGGAAGAGAGGCCTAAATACTTTCATATGAAATTGAGCTTGGAGTTTTTCGATTTTAGATTGGATGAGAGAGGGACAGTTGTCGATGAGAAGGATTTCTTCTACATAAATGAGGATGTAGAGATTATCAGAGTTGTTGTGTAGAGAGAAAAGGGAAGGATTGACAAAGTGGGGTCGAAAACGAAGAGTTTCAAGGTAGGTGGATAGAGTGGTGAATCATTGACGTGGGGCTTATTTGAGGTCGTAGAGGGATTTTTTAAGTAGACAATTGTGGTTGGATGAGTTGCATCAATGAAGCCTTGAGGTTGCGACATGTAGATAGTTTTGATGAGATGAAAAGCATTGGAGATGTCAAGTTGGAGAACTGCTATTTGGGGTTAGACTTATGGTGATCAAAGCAAGAATGCTAGGTAGTTTGGCTATGAGACTGAATGTTTTCTTTTTAATCAAAACCATATTGGTGCTTATAGCCTTGAGCCACTAAGCAGGCTTTGTAGTGAGAGATGGAGCCACGCACATTGAATTTGGTGCAGAATGTCCATTTGAAACATAAGATGTTTTGGTGCAGGGATGGGGGGATGAGGGATCACGCACCTTAAGATTGGAGAGCTTGAAATTCGGTGGACATGGCTTTTCGCTAGTGAGGGTGTTTGATAGCAGAGGAAAAACAAGTTGGTTCATATTCAAATTGATGGGTGGGTTTGAGTATTTGTCGTTGTTTGAGCGAACCAGTTTTGAGGCGAGTTTGCATCAATTGAGTTAGTGGATTTGGGAGGGGTATGGGGGAGGGTTAATTAGTTGGATGGTAGGTATGGGAAGGGATGGGCTGTATAAAGAGAGAATGGTTTGGGAGAGTGTATGTTGTGGTTGTTGTGGAACAGGGGAGGTAATGTGTTGAGGTGGAGTTGTTAGTGTGGTGGGGGAAATGAGGAGAAATGGCAGTAGAAGAAGGGAAGTGGGTGGACATGATTTGGTGATGTTTGGTTTTTGAGAGAAGGGAGATTTTTTCATTGTAGAGGACTGGTGAAATATGTAGATGCAATTGGAACAGGGATCAAGAAAATGATATCATTTTTGTAGAGGAGCGCAGCCTATGAAGACGTATGGGGTAGAGCGGGGGGAGAGCTTTTGTTTGGTATAGGGCTTGATCCAAGGATAGCAGAGAGAACCAAATATTTTAAGATGGTTGTAGGATGGAGGAGGAAGGTGGATTAGTTTGTAGGGTGATTTGAGATAGGTGGTGGGTGATCGAATGTTGTTAATTAGGTAGCGGTGGTGATGAGTGTTTCGGCCCATAGATGACAAGGAAGAGAGGTGTTTACCATGAGAGTATGAACTGTCTTAATGAGATGACAGTGTTCGCGCTCTGCAATGTCATTTTGTTTGGGGGTCTATGAGCACGTGTATTGGTGAATGATGCCAAATTCTTTAAGGTGGTGTTGGAGAGTATGATTAAGGAGTTCTCTATCACTATCAGTGCGAAGGGTCATAATATTACAGGGCAATTGATTTCAACCATAGCTTTTAATTCGAGAAATTTATTAGTGGTGTCAAGTTTGTTATGATGTAGGTAAATCCAAATGTAGTGAGTGTAGTCATCAACGAAGACCAAGTAATATTCATAAGCTTGTAAAGATAAGGTGGGGTAAGGTCCCCATACAATGCTATTTATAAAGTTCTAAAGGTAAGACTTCGTAGAGGAGATAGTGAAAGAGAACTTATGGCTCTTAGCTACTTTGCAAGAATCACAATGTAAGGATTTAGAAGAGATACATAAATAGGGAAGCCTTGATACTATGATTGATTGCATACGAGGTGATGGATGATCGAGTCGTTTGTGCCATTGTTGCGGAATGTGTTGTACTGAGAGAAAAACAAGTGGTGTTTATGGTTGCTTTGTAATTGGAGAAGTTACTAGGTGGAGTCCTCGAATACATGGTCCTTTAAGTATGGGGTGGTTTGTCTTGGGATCAATGATGTGATAGCCATCAGAGGTGAAAGAAATGGAGCAAGAGTTAGTGTTGGTTAATTTATGAACAAAGAGGAGGTTATAAGCTAAATTGGGAATGTAGAGGAGTTTTAGTAGATAAAGCTTACTCAGAGGGGTAGGCAAGAATACTTGATCAATTGGTGCGATGAGAAGTTGGTCACCATTTCTGACAGTGATTGTATTGTCTCCATGATAGTCGTGAGCATTTGCAAGTTGGGTCGGATCTGTGATAAGATGCTCGATTGCGCCCCTATCAAGGTACCATCGACCATATGTCGAGTTGGAGTTGGAGGTGACCAAGGCGGTTGGAGTTTGGTAGGATTTGTCATTATGAAACCAACACTTGAATGCTTCATGACCGATTTTGAGGCAAATTTGGAAGTGGGTGGAAATTTCTTAGGGAGGGAGGAGGTGGTGTTACCTTGGTTGAACTGAGAGGATGAGCTAGTGCTTTTGCCTTTGTAGTTGTAGGAGGGGTTGTGGTTTCTTCCTCGGTCTCGAGTAGTAGAGGATATGGATTTTTTGGCAGTTTTGGCGGAGAGATTAATTTCCTTGCTGAACAGTAGTGTGTAGAGGTTGTCAATCAAAACCGGTTGATGATTGGTGTGAATTGCGGCTTTGAAGGCATGATATGTGGAGGGTATGTGTATTGAATGATATCCTCCTGGTTGATGGGAGCGCCGACCGCGGCAAGGGTGTCAAACTTGGCCTTGACTTCTGATAGATATTGGGTCATGGGTTTGTTTAGCATGCTGAGATTATAAAGCTCGTTCTTCAGTTGAATGATTTTGGAGCGATTTGATGATTGCAGTCGATGCTCGAGTGCTGCCAAATAACATGAGTAGTGTCCATTGATAGAACATAAAGTAGAATGGAGGCGGATATGACGGAGAAGAGAGCGACAACCAGATT